TGAGGTAACTCAACTTTCAGCAAGACATAGTTGGCTTAAATGCTGAGGCTGCTCGAGTCTCATGTGTGTGTGTTTTTCTCTAAAGTTCCTATTTTTAAATTAATCTTTTTGTTTTAGAGACACATTTGGGACAGTGGAGGTGCTGCACATGGTGTAAAACCAGAAGTTCTGTGTAATTCGGCTTCATTTTCTCCAACTGCGAACATCTGGTTATCTCTGTGGCTGGATGGTACTTTTTTTCTTGGCTTGTAACTTTTTGGCACCTACACAGAGGCCTTTACAGGAAGCAGAAAAAAGGTGTTGCCTCAAGACCACAAGAGCAAAGCTTTTGACTATTTTTATCCACTGATGAAGGATATAGTGGGAAAGAGCTGCATGAACTTTGCTTAGTTTTAATCATTTTGAGTCTTAATTTTTGGTCTTAAAAACCTAAATATTTGTGATTGTGTTCTGCATTCAGAAATTTCTTCTGCTTCTAAAAGAGCAGGGGAAAAAAAAGGGTTGTTAGTGAACAATGCTATTTAATTGAAAGTGTGGGAGGAATTCAGACACATCTCATCACCTCTATTGTCTCTTGTGTTTGCACTCGGCCTGTAAACACTTGGTTTTCTGGGATGTCCTTTGTTGTTCTTGTTCCCACTCAACACAAGGGGTGTTGCCCCTGGGCTGCAGGGAAAAGGTGCTGAATGGGGTGCCCTCCCATGAGCTTCGAGGACAACAGCGATTGTGGTGAGAGCCACTGCTCACTGAGACAGGCACCCCTTGCTCATTCCTGTGCTGAAAGACTGCTTTCCCTGGATCTGCCATCACTTCTTTATTGGGACCCAGTGGCGCTGCAGCCTGGCAGATGAACTGCAGAACATATGGTAAAAACAGGGTGTTTGGTTTGGGGATTTTTTTTGGGGTGGTTGTTGCAGTGGGGATGATGTTTAAATGCCTGAAAAGCTAGGTCAGCTCTATTTGACATCAGTGCAACGTGGGTGTTTAAAGCTCCCATCCCAGGAAACATGACTGTAGAGGATCTCAGCTTTCAGTTTTAAGTGAGCATTTCCTCTGAGGGTTGCAGGTGAAAGCTTGAACATGTTCATGTAATTTGCTGCATAGATGTAAAAGGGGGGGGGGAGATGGGAATTTTGTATCCCTGACCTTTTCCAGTTTAATTTTAACTGCTTGAGGTTTTCGGTGATGTCAACTCTTTGGTGGTTTAAAACAACAAAACACAAGGCAGCCTCCTCAAAGCTGTAATTTCCTAGAAGCGGCTATCTGTAATGTGAAAGGGCTGGGACTGCAGCTGGGAAGCTTCTAGCAAGGTGTGAAGGGAAGTAAACACTTTCACTTGGGCTTAAAATGCCAGTGTGCAGTTCTTTGAAAGTGAAACTTGCAATAAACAAAAATGAAACCAGCCCTTACCGAACTGTATGAGAATGTCCACGATCTGTGAAAGGACAGCGTTCCCTAAAAGATTGTTGGAGTATCTCTCCAAGATAAATGGATGCAACAAACCAATTTGTTCCTCAGATAAAGGTTAATAAAACCTTGGAGGTTCTGCATCCGCTGGGGGTGTGAAGATGGTTCTGCTGGGCTGATTAATCATGGTGATTTAAATATTAATTCTCCTGATGCTGGCATTAGAGAAGCAATAAGTGTTGTGGATTAGAGCTCCCACTTCGGAGATCTTTATTGTGCCTGGGACAGCTCAGAGCCATTATTCCTCCCACCTTACCATACTGTATTTGGATGTTTGCACTTAATATATTTTGGTTTTTCCACATTCAGCAAAACCAGATTTGTGGTGGGTGTCTTATGAAGAAATGTCCAGACTTGATTTATTTCCTGGCTTCAGCTGTGTGTCGTAAGGCAGTCTTACAGGAATTATCCCTTGACGAGCTGGCACCCGAGGTTCCAGTAACTCCCAGCAATCAAAGCCATTTTCATCTTTACCAATCTTAACATGTTTTTTGTTAAACTGAACCCACCAAACGCACAGCACTTGCTTCGGTAGTGGATTTTTGCTTTTATGTTCCAAAGGACTAACAAGTGTGGTGTTTGAGTATGGGAGCTGACTGGTGGCTTTAGTGCACACTCAGCTGGGTTGGCGTCAGTCCTGACCTGCCCTGGTGATCAAGGGTTCCCCTCCAGTTGTGCCAGTCCTTGCTGCCATCCCACCTACTGTCCTCCTCTGAAAGGATCTAGTGATCTTTTAATTTAAGATTAATTTTGTTTAGGAACTGGGAAGCAGCTGGCAAACCAGGAATTGTAGTAAACTCTATGGTGAGATTTGGCATTCCAGTATTTTCAGTAGGAACTTTAACTTGCAACTGAGTCTTTTATCTGACAGAAATGTGCCTCATCTTTATTAGCTTTGTGTTTGCATTCTCATGAGCTGTTGCTGATGGTCTTAGCTGACCAGCACTAGTGATAGTCTGATATGTGAGCTTGAGTAAAAGCCAAGTGGTAACTCATTGGGTATCAAAGACAGTTTTTTCCAGTTGGCTGTTTCAAACGTATTAAAGATACTGATAATCGCTTCCATTCTGGTACTCTGGGTGCTTAAAGAACATACAAGGCTCGCATTCCGATTACGAGTTACTCAAGGTACATATTCTAATTCATTTTTCTGAAGGTTGTGTCATTTGCTTAAATCCATCCTGCTTTGTTGTTAGGGGGGCAGATGGATACTGAAAGCAAATGTCTGCTGCCTGTGAGTAATGAGATCAGTGAAATAACTAGGTCAGGATTTTTTTCATTGTTGGACAGATGCTTATTACCAAAGTCCCCAGTGAGAGCCACAAAGCCAGGTCTGGAGAGGTCACAGGTTGAGCCTGAGTCCTGTTAAAACCAGTAGCATCTTGCTTTCCAGTGGGTGCTAGTTTGGCAGCCTCCCTCTAGCCTGCTGCTGGGCTTTTCATGGTGTCTCACTGTCTGTAATGCGTTATTCGGTTCTGTTATTAATCCCTATCTCTTCCAGGTCAAACAGTAATTTGCTACATAGTGCCTTGGCAAATGGTGTACCTGAGGTTTGGAGAGAAATGGGAGTAGGTCTAGAGAGCTGGCTACCCTAGAAAACAGGAATGGCATATAACCTGCTGTCAGTAAATGCAAATCACATTTGCACACAAATGTTTTCCGGGATGTCTGGGTGTTACCAAGGTTAGGATGAGCAGATACTCTGTCAGGTTGAATGACACACAGAGGCCATATAAATGCAAGGTGCTCATATTTAGGGTAATGGAGGCCAGATTTCTGTGGAAAGAGGAGACAGAGCAAAGAGCTAAAATGGTTATTAGATCTCTGTGATACCAGCTACTGCTGGTTTTGGTTACCTGGTTAATGCCAGCTGGGGAGTCATCTTTTGTAGGTGGTTCACTGCCAACTATGCACTTTTGAGCGTGGGCTGTGGTGTTTGTTGCTGCAGTTGCACATATTAATTTTCAGCTTGGAAAATAGCCATACCGGTCTGGAATTTGCTCATCTTCATCTTTCTCCTTTTCGACATAGCAACAATGTTCCTAGGTTAACTGCTGGCTTTTGAGAATAGAAAATTATGAAGTGCCTTGATCCTTTTGTTGTAATGGTACTCCACTGTCCATCAGTTCTCATTCCTTCAGTTTCCTACACTGGCTTCATACACAGTAAATCCTAACAAATTTATGAATATTAAACCCAACCATTTAGTACTAAAAACCTTCAGAAAAGTAGGTTGAGGAGGTCTGATTTCATCCTTTCTAGCAGCAAGGTGCAATTCAGGCTACCTACAGACCTCCCTGAATGCCTCCTGTCTTGATCGTGCCCTAGATTTTGACCTTTTAATTTGACACGTAGACTTCCAGCAAAGGTCCAATACTAAACTGGAAAGTGGAGAAAATAATTGGCTTTTTTCCCTGGCACTGACGTTAATGTTTGCTGTAGCTTCAGATGTGACAACATGCAGCACTGCCTTGAGTCCTCTTCTACTTACCACTGCTGGGTATTTTAAGGATTATTTGTAAAAGCACTTGACAGCACGAGTGTGCTCCTGGCAGAGTTGCTAGCATGACTGTGGGCTTATAACAAATGCCAAATATCAACAAGAAAATAAGTAAATCTTACTTTATTCCAAGCTGCTTTATAAAGTTTATGACAAGTGAAAACTAATCCAGAATGCCACATCTTAAACAGAGGCTTTCCAAGTGCACTGAGGTGAGGTCTTCCCACCTCAACCAGTTTCATGAGACAGAGCCTCTACTGGATTTAACAAATGGCCTCTATTGAACTGGGTGCAAAGAGAACACAGACTCCAGGTTTGCAGAGCTTTCTCCTGAAAGCTGCTGGCTTTGGAGTGTGGATCAGGGATCCAGTGTTTCCAGTTTCTTATATCTGCATTAGCTCTTAGGATGACGCCAAGGAGACCATGATGCACATGAGTACGTGTTGCTTTACAGGACAAAGCCAGACTCTTGAAATAAGCTGGAAATCTCCCGGGCTTTGCAGGTGGGAGATAACTGATGGTGTGTTCAGGCTTCTTAGTTGTGAAACAGGAATATTCTGTTCTGATGGAGTTGGACAGTTTTTGAGAGCAGACCCATGTAGATACTGCTTAGTAATCCCGTCTGGAGGTGTGTACAGTTAGCTGAACAAATGGTGGTGGGCAGGGATGTGCTTGCCTGGACAACAAGAAAACAAGACTGTCCTTCAGCAGATGAGCCTGCAGCGGAATGTGATAGTCACTGGCTATTGCGGAAGAAAGTGCTTTTGGAAAGAAATTCTCCTCCTCCTTTATGTATCACTACCTAACACACACCTCCCCCTCCCCCCCAACACATCTGTAATAGCTCAGTAAAAACTCCATGGTGCTAAAAATGATTAAGATTTAAAAACCTGAGTGCTGCTTGCAATGGAAGGTAGAAACAAAGGCAGGTCGCTAAATGCTAGTACTCAGCTTTCTCCTGTAAGATTTTTTTTTCCCCAGATATATTTTTCTTACCTATAAAACTACTTGCAGTCCTGTGCCTTGTCCCTACCTGTTGGTGTGAAAGAGGAAATAGTTGTTTTCATAGCACAAGTACTTGTGATATAGTTTCCAGGAGACATTTAGACTATGGATTACTGTATTGCCGATATGTATTAAGTAGCTGCAGTTTTGCAGCATGTGTCACAAAGAAGGAATGGGGGAAGGAAGTAGAAATAATACAAAATTGATGGTATGAAAAGTGCAGGCTGGGGTTTAACCAGGAATTGAAGCCTGATGGAAGTGCTTGGTGGTGAGCAGAAGTTTCCTGACAAAAAAATACCATGATCTCTCTACTGATGGCAGTGTGTAACCTCCTCCTTGGCTTGCAAAACAGTGCAAGAAACTGTACAGCTTGTTGCAGAGATGAGTCTTGACTTATGTGGGGAGAGGAAAGGAGACTGAAATGCTCGATCCAAAGGAGACACCTGTACCATGTTCCAAAACAATGCTCTCCTTGTGCTGGAAGCTTTGCCTAGTAGACTTTTTCCAATGATTTGTTGCCTTTACATGTTATCTCTTTCCCTGTGCTGGGTTGAGTAACCTAGCGTTGGAGGTAGCTGTGCTCTGAGCAGGGGTCGGGCCATGTGACCTGCTGGGATCCTTTCCAAACTAAATTATTACTTGATTCTGTGAAACTGTTTGGAAACAAGGGTGACAGTTCTGGGTCTGACACGTGGCACTGGGTCTGACGGCTCCCTGTTCCAGAAACCCATTGGTGTCTGGGCTGGCAGAGAGCTGCAGAAAGGCTCTAAGAGCAGCTGCTTGGACTTTGAGGAGTATGGCTGGCACTGCAAGGACTTAAAAACCTGGGACTTTCTGAGCTGCGGGAGCTGAAAGCCAACTGCAAAGACTATTCAAAGGTACAAGTGCTTATGTATTAGCAAGGAAGCTAATTTCTCTTGGTCAGTATGTAAAGAAGCTTCAGACAGCAGGATCTGATCTCTGCTTTAGATGGTAAAGCAGGATGTTGCTGGAGACTTTATCTCCAAAAGCAGGCAGGAGCAACCTACTGAATAGCAACCTAGGTACTGAGAATCTTTTCAACATGCACACCTATCCCCTCATAGACCTGTTTGCCATCTGGGCTAAGAAGAAGCAGCCGTGCACATAAGCATATGGTGTTGCGGAAAGGTCATTTCAGATACAGTGAGTTTGGCAAGAGGGAGTCAGGAAGCTCAAGGGAAAGGATAATGTGATTAAAGTCTCAGAAAGTAAGACTTGGAGAAGTTCTTAAGTGGGGAAAATACAGTGACATTGAAGTTGTTACAGGTTGTTGCTGCCAAAAGACACGGATGTGTTCCTTATTGCTGCTCTTTGAATCAGACACCACTGAATGGAACAAGTTTTGGGGGAGTAAACACAGGTGGTCAAAGACAGATCAGTGCTTTGGTGCAGAGTTGCTCCTGAGGTGCTTTCACCACCTCTGCGTGATTCATTTGCTGGTTCAGCAGGTCACATTGATCTTTATGTGCTACAACCGCAGGCCTCAGCCGGTTGCTTTCTGGCTTGTGCATTATCAACAGGATTGCAATTTTGCAATGGGATTTTAATTTCTCAATTCTGTTGCTAGGAGAGCTAAAATCTGTGCTGCTCATCGGTTACGTGAACTCTGCAAAGCCAGTGAAAATGAGAAGTGCGAATAATAAGAGGAGATCAGAAATAGATGTGTCCTGTTTCTAGTTCTTTTTGCTGACTAATGTTACAACTTTTTGAGTGAATAGCATGTCTGAAGCAGAAAATGCTGTGCTGGCTCAGCAGTGTCTTGTAAAAGTTGCAGTTAGAGATGGAAACACCTCCTTACCCTATAGGAAAATGTTGTGTCTGCTGTTGGCATGCAGCCTCTCAAGACAAGAACATAAAATGTTTGCTTTAGCTAGCTGTAGTAAAGCAGTTCAACTGGTCTGTCCAGCAAGATGTTCTCTCTTGAAAAAGGAGGCACATACCCCTCCAGCTTGTTGCCTCTGTGGGTGAGTTCTAAAGAGTACTGTGTTGGTGCTTCTTAGAGCCTTCCTGTGGAAGGAAGGGAAGCCATGCATCGTGTGCTGACTGGTGGTTTCTGAACTGTGCTCTCACCTGATCAAAAACCCTTTCAAAAGGGTTTTCAGAAGTTGGTGTGACTTCTTAGGAGAAAAATGCAGCATGGGATCTTTTCTGTACTATGTACTTTAGGTGAGGGACCCACAGGCCCAGTGTATGGAGATGCAGCTCTGACCGGGTTGCTGCATGGCGGTGGGATGCTGATCCCCAAATAGACTGAGTCTCCTTAAGAACTTAGTGCAGGACTCTTTTGCATGCTGCCTTACCTCTCTCATTCAGTGAGGTGGTCCATCGTTTGAGGTGATCTTTGTATTTTGTGCATATGGTGGCTCCATAGAGCTGAGAAGTGTGGCTATGTGCCCTCAGAAAATAGAGGACAGTGCAGCTTGGCAAATGTTGGGGTCCACTGATGTGTGTTCCTGTAACCTGCTGGTTGGGTTTTGTTGGGCTTTTTGTTTGTTTTGAAAGGTGTCACAAGACTAATTCTTTCAACACATCTTTCAGTATAAACCTCCCCACATTTTCTTTGCTTTCCAATAAATTTTAAGTGAAAGAAAGTGAAAATTTTAGACTTTGTTACAGGTTTGTTTGCAACATCAGTGTTTTTTATTAAGATCTCTGTTTCACAAGAAACTGTGTAGTGTAACTTCCAGGTTGCCCCAAAGCCTAAATCCTAGAGGATGTACAAACCACGACCTGTAAAATGCTTTTGTTTTCCTGTGTTTTGTACTTTTTCCCAGCCAGATTTTTAGACCAGCAGGAAAACAGAGACTTTTGTGAAGCAGTGCACCATGTGGGGAGCAAGACCTTGCACCATGGTCCTTTTCCATCTTAAGTGTCCTGAGGACCTGCTGGGTGATAAAGTACAGCTGATTTGGCTGAGCTCCTGGACTACTTTGGTATTCCAGGAAGAAGTTTTACAGGAATGCTTATCTTATACGAAGCGCATGGCTAATGATGAAGGAATCATTTTAGATTGGAATCTTGCAGGAACATACTGCAGTTATCAGTTAAATCTAAATGAATCCAAGCAGTCTTTTCTCAAATTATAATGTTCTGTTTATGAATGCATTTCCTCCACTTGGCATTCAGCCCCACTAATGCAGTGATATTGTGTAAAATGTGGAACAAATGACATCTCTTTCTTACGAGAATGTCTGGCTCCTAGAACGTAGTAACCTTTAATGGGCAAGGGAGGATGAGAAAACGGGGCTGAGTTGAATGCTAAAGCAATGTAACTCATGAGTTTGGAGATACGGGGTTTTCTTCTGAACAGTTGTTTGTGATTTTTGGTGATCTGTAGCTATTTTTGAACAACTTTATATATTCTATAGTTTCCCAAGACCATAACTTGTGACTTTTCAAATGCTTTCAGATCATTAAGTAAAAAAATTACATTTACAGAAGATATTGACAAAACATCTTAAAAGTGTGTTTGTTTAATTTTAGGACAAGGAAACCTGCATGGGTGTCAACAATCAAAGTTACATATGTGAAACGGGCCACTGTTGTGGACAATCCCAGTGTTGCAACTACTACTATGAACTCTGGTGTAAGTCCTTCCATTTTTGTATGGCTTCCCTTCCTAATCTGCATGGCTCTCATACAGGTCTGGCTTGTGTCCCTTGGGGTTTTATATTCAGCCCTTGTTACACATCACAATTGCATTTCACTGCAACACAAACCAGAGTTGACCTGACATGGCAAAGGAAATAGGGTCTCTACAGTGGACACTGCATGCTTTTTGAGGAGTAATGGGTCATCTTGCCAGGTTCATGACTGGAGATTTGTTTGGTATCCTCACTGATTTGGGCAAAACTGAGGGTACGCAAGTAAGGAAACCATGCTTGAGGGAGAAATGCCAATGCATGCTACAGTAGTTTGAAACACTCAAGCAGAGAATTAATTCAGTATCTTTTCAGCTTATTGGTTTAGTTCTTTGCAAGAGTAACAGTTTAAATCTCTTTTATCTTTTTAAAGCTATCCTTTCAAGGCAGGGTGGGGGCAGGACATTTATTCTCCTTGGGATGCATTGTGTTTGGAGCTCAGCTCTTTGGACGGAGAGGGTCTTGGGCAAATCTTGTGGGCTGACAGTGGCTGAATACTGTGGGATGCGAGGAACATACATTGCCCATGGCAACTCTTCTTAGCTAATCTTTCCTAAAATCTGAGATTTAAAACTACTTATGTTTCCAGTGAGTGGTTGAGTGGCTATACCTGTTAAATCCATTTAGATGGCAGCAGGTCAAAACAGGTCAGCAAAACTCTGATAAAATTATATGGGAAAAATGGGGAGTTGAGAGGGTAGGGAGGTAAGAAATGCTAAATTTTAAAGGCAAACTTTTATGTTCGTTCTTCTCTGATGGTGTCCTTTCTTGAGGAGGAGCACAAAGGGTTGAACACTGGTGTTGATGTGCTGTTGTACTGCCAGGAGCTTTGGCTGAGAAGGCCTCTGTTCTCCAAGAATTTGGAAATGTGGAGCTCTGAGCTCTGCACTCCCACATTAGAGAAGCTGGAGAGACTTTCTTACCATATCCAGTAGTATCTTGTAGCTTTTATGCAACTGTGCTATCTACTTAATCGCTCTGCTGTGGCCATAGTTTCACTTTCTCAAAGTATCGTGTGTGGAAAAGTATTACACATACGAAGATTGTCACTTAACCTGTATCTAAGGACAGGAATAGTTGAATCCATTAGCCTAGAGACATACTCTTACTCTTCAAATTAACCAGTGAAGCATGGACAGTGTGGTTATAAACTAAACAGGAATCTAATAGACTCCTTCAAGTCACGCTGTGCATCTGACTGCAGTGGCTGGCTGTGTTGATGCTAATGGGAAGATCTGAATGTATTGCAGACCTTCTACAGCAGCTTGATTTTCAGAAGTCTCTGAACACTTCAAGAAACATTTCATGACAAGAGGAAAGGGTGTGGGGAGTGGGGGTTAGGGGGGCAGCTCTAGGGACACTAGCAGGCTGAGAGATAGGCATGAATACATGGCTGTCTGGTTCACGTCCCAGCAGTGGGCCGCACAGGCAGGGCAGGACAGATGACTGGAATTTATTCTATGTGGGGCTGCATGGACAAAGCAGAGAGGGGAAGGTCAGACCCAGTTTTGGATTTATGTGGGTGGGAATGTGGAGGAAGATGCACGTATGCAGGGGTTTACAGACTGTGTGGCAAGCAGGGTCTAAATTGAGCAACAGCATGAAGTACAGCTGCACGCTGGAGCTTGTTGCACAGTCGCCATCTTTCCCCCATGGACATCTTGAAAGAGAGGCTTAATTTAATTGGATACAAACAATACAGCCTGAACAATAGCCCCCTGCCATTTTAGTGGAATGATTTTACTTTAACTATCTTTGTGCTCTCAGTACGGCACGGACTTTGAGACTTGGCTGTGCCTGGCTGCATCGTAAAAGTTCTTGGAAGATAAAACCAGATTTTGTTAAAAAGAAGCAGAATTTTTGAGGCTTCTTTCTAGGGCAAGTACAGAGGTCGTGCTGAGATCATGGAACAAACATATTAGTGGCACACACTGCTGGATGGTTCCTCGGGAGGAATGGGTTTCTGCATTGAGATTCATATTCCTTCTGTGTTGCAGAGAACATCATATACCACACTGCGATGAGAGGAGTAAAGCAAACATGAGACCTGTTCTAGGCTTTCTGCAAACTCAGGCAAATGTCCAACATCAATGTAAAATTGGTTAATGTTTTCTATGCTCGCTTTGCCATTGTGTTAGAAAAAAGCTGCTGGGGTGGGAGGGAGGAGGCACAGGGGATCGTGTCCTTTAAATGAAAACTCATATTCTAGAGCTTGTGAGCACAGCTGCAGAACTTACCTGCTGCTCCAGTTCTTGAGTATCTTCGGTAGGTACATATGGGGAGGCATCTAAGACCTTCAAGGTGAATAGCAGTGATAGTGTATGTAAAGTAGTCTTAATATGAGCCATAAATTGATGGTGTGGAGTGTAACAGCTTTACATGCTTGGGAATAGATTAGCTTTTAAAAAGTTATTATTAACTTTTGGGTTAATGAACAGTTAACTTCGCAGCACCTTTAAAGTATGGCTTCATGGTTGTTCTGTGCTTTGATTTTAACCAGCATATGCATGTACTGCAGTGGCTTTTGAGAAGTTTCTGTTCCTCTTGACCTTCTCGGACCACCAGTGCTTTTGTGTGCCCGAAAACAGACCTTCTTGCTAGATTTGTTGAATTAAATCCTGGATTTATTTACCACCACAGCTTTGTGGGGAGAAGAAGCAGAGGAGGGTGGCATTTGAAATGGAAAAGAAAACTAGTTTGTCTTTGCCGGACATGCCTTCTGAAATGTGATCCTGTGGCTGCTGTCTGTGGCCACTTGGAGGTTTTTCCCGTAAAAAGGATCTTTTTTTCCAGTTTAAGAATTTGAGGGAAGTTTGTCTTTGAGAACGGCTGATCTCAGCATTTCTAGACAGCACGTTAAGTTTGCAGTAATTACAAACCAGTCCTTGTGGGCAGTGGAATAGGATGCAAAATCAAGGTATTATTTTGTTAAGGGGTGGAGTGGAGGAATGGAGAACATGATATGCCAAGCAGGTGGACGGCCTGTGTTTAAAATTAGATAACAGCCCAGTTCAGATCCCCCACCCCGCTCCTGTTAAAAAAAATGAGTAGTGCCATGCTGCCAAATAATAAAACTATGTCCAGATTCATACATATATAGGCCTAATAGCTATATAAAGGTGTATTTACTTCTTAGCTCAAGCTTGGTAACTGGTAACACGAAGGAAAATGTGCAGTATGCTTTTGAATTTTCTTGGAATAGAATCATAAAAAGTAAAAGGGAAGAAGAGGCTTTACTGTTGCTTTTGTACTTGCTTGGATGGTGGTTAAGCTGGTTCAGCATTTTAGCTTAACAGTTTCTTTGGGTTCCCCAGAGAGTTCACAGTCCCCAAGGTGGGAATTGTGGTCTTGGGAGAATGGCAGCAGCCACTGGGTTTTGCTTGCTTACAGTTTTCATTCAGGTGTGTTATGATGTGATTGTGATTTACTGGAGTTGCCTGATGTTGACCTTTGTCCAGGCCTGACAGGCATCTACTGCTTTAATATTCCAAAATACAGGAGGAAAGTAATTGGGGAAGAATGCCATTCCTGCATTTTGCAGGTTAAGAATTTAGGCTCAGACATTTGGGAATTTCATAAGTGTATAATTAGGGCTGAAACCAACATCCAGATCTCTTGACAGCCATCCTTGCATGTTTCCTTGCCTGTTGAGGACCAGCATGAAATTGAATGGTTCCAGAGGCTCTGAACACATCAAGAAAAGCTATAGAAAGTAGTTTGCATAGTGTGGTTGGAAAAAGGGTACACCATGCTTCAGGAATTGTGGAACATGGAAACAGGCTGCTGGCCACTGTGTGCAGAAGATCGTAGTTTTAGGATTTTAAAGTTAGAGGGCTTAGCTGGTCTTGGGTCATGTAGGTACTGTACAACAAACCAGCACTGGTTATGGGTGAATGTTCAGATGTTGCATGTGCCTGTTTTGCTTCATTTTGGCTTCTTCAGCAAAGTAGAAAAGATGTTGATTGTTTGGGCCCTGGTGGAAGGGTTGTACAGGAAAAAAATGTTCTGTTTGCAGACAGCACAGTTGATGTTTTTGCTGATTTTGAACATTTTGCTCATCTCTGCACGCTTCCCCTTGGAATCTCTAGACAGCTCTTTTCCCCAGAAAGCATACTGCCAGAAAATTCTGGCAGGGATCCGGTTAGTTGCTAAAACTAAAGCAACTGCTCTACCACGTACATGTTCCAGGTCAGCTTCATAATAGGAATTCATTTCCAAAACTTGCTCCAGTCTCCAAAACTCTCAGTCAAACAACACATCAGTCCCAAGTTTTCTTCCTTACTGTGTGTTATCTTATCCTTCAGTCCATGTCCTTTTCCAGAGAGGGATTTACCCTGTTCCTTGCCTTTCACTCAGCCTCCTACATGGTTGCACTTGCTTTCTCTTTAGATGTATCAGACTTCACCTTTGGCTGCTGTTACTCCTCAGCTGGTGCTTCAGTGATAATGCTCCCATGACAAGGCCTAGCTGACAGTATAGGACAAACAAAACAGATGTCACAACCATGCAGAAACTCATGATAAATAGGGTCATTGAGGGAGTTATTTCCCGATTTCCTTGCACATTTTTTAGCCTAATCCAGACAGCAAAATCATCTTAAGCTTGTTTTGATGTGGCTCAGTAAAATTCACAAACCCAAAGGAGAAGGCAAGCTGTCTTGCATAGCCTGACAGTGCAAAAACTGACTTCTGCCCTGTGTGGCTTGCTTCTACGTGCTTTGTGTTGAGCAGCAAGGAAAGGCAAGAGAGTTTGCTGGCGGTGGTGCACCCCCTGCCTTTTGTACCTCCAGCCCAGCTTCTCACCAGATACACAGATCTGTTGGTGCAGTGATCTCCAGATCTTGCTTCCAGGTGTTCTGGAAATGGTGTCAGCTGGTTTTCCTCTCCAGTCTCTGTTAGACTGCTGTTCAATGTGCGTTTTACCAACATAAATGTCTTGGGAGGCTAAGTCAGCTGGAACTGACTGGACTTGCATCTTCTGAAGCACAGAAACAATTGCTCTTCAAATGCTCCCTCCCCAGAAGAGAGGCGTAAAAACAGTGCCTGCAGATTTACTGCCTCAAATTGATTTTTATTGCAAGATAAGCAAAGGATTTTTCTGAAATCTGTCTTTTTCCACCTTATGTCGTGGCAGTGTGTATGCCATGCATACGGGACCCTATTCTGAAAACTAGAAACCAGCTGCAGATAATGTCCATCTCCTTTTGTGTGAGTTACCAGTCTGGGAGCAAGCAAACAAGCAGAAGTTGGAGATGTTGGTTTCAGCTTTTCTTTTGCCATTGTACTCTACAAATACTCATAACTTTTTCCTGCAGTGTGATCAGGCTGGGGCTACAGTCCCATTGATTTAAACTGACATAAAGCTGTCATTGAAAGTCATAGTCTTTCTCTTGCTGCTGTTGTGTTTGGTAGATGAGTTTCAACCTGCTCTGGTTCCCTCAAACTGGTTCAGACCACAGTTGCGGCGCAAGAAGAGATGGAAGAGGCAGCAGGAGGTATGAAAGAGACAAGCAGAAGAGGGTCTGTGCTGGATGACACTATTAAACTCAGTGCATCCAGGTTCTGGTACCAAGTAAATCTCTCTCCTGTTTTTGATGATAGCCACCATTTGGGACACCGCTTTTTAGTCAGTGAAATTGTCCCACTTCTTCTGTTCAGAACCAGCTCTCATGGAGCCAAAGCTATTACCCATATGCTTGTCAGGCAGACACAAAACCACTTTACAATATGTTTTGGCTTGCTGTTAGGGGACTTTCTTCCAGCAGCAGAGTGATGGCATTTGCCCAAGTTTACCCTGAACTTGAGGGCAGATTTCTCTTTTCCTACCCTTGGAGCGCTCCAGAAGAGATTTTCCATTTTGCACAGGATAAAAGGAGTTCCCCTGAACAGGAATGCTCATGGCAACATCACATGCAGCAAATACAGTACATAATCAGCCTGAGCATTGCTCCCACCTTTTTCATGTGGAGTGAATGCTCTGCGTTGTTTATTTTTTCTTAAATTCTTTTATTCTTAATCATTCTTAAGTTTGAGCAAAGCTCTGGTCAGCGTCCCAGGAAGGTTTTACTTGACGCTTTAAGCCTGGCATGTTATTTCGCAGCTGGTAGAAAACATCTCTGATGCATGACCATGTGATGAGGCTCCCTTTCTCAAGGACTCTAAGTGTAGCAGCCTTCTCTTTCTTCAGTATTTCTTCTGCTTGTGGGAGATGGCTTTCCTGGGAGCTGATTCTGTCCCTGGGTATTTCTGCAGCTCCTGTTGTGACTCGGAGCTTGGTGCTCTTGTAAAGCTTACAGCTCTGAGCCTGCTGGGTAAGAGGATGATACTTCTTTTTTTCATGAAAGGTTTTGACGCCCTGGCAGGGAAATCTCTTGGCAAAACTCAGATCCTTGGCTGGGTCTGATTCACCCCTTGGTTGCATCATTATCCACCCATTAGCATCACTAGTGAATTCAGCAGAAAATATAGCAGTGTTTCTCAGGATTCAGCCTTTTTTGGACTGGAGAGTTGTTTCACCTTCTGACTCTTCCATAAACTAAGAACCTGCCTGAAATTGCTTTCAAGTCCAGTGGTCCCCTGGGGCATGTTTAGCTCCAAACTGGTGCATGACTTTTGGTGATGCTGATCATCGGTGGTTGTTTTTCCAAAGATCCTGTTTGCTTTTTGCCTGTCGCATTGCCCTCAGGTTGCCATGAGTTTTCAATCCCAGTGGTCACCACCAACCTCACAGTGGGTAATAGTGTCTCTCAATTCAGACATTTAATGGCAAACTTGGATCAAGATGCCCAGTTGTCTCCCAGCCTTTCTCCTTTTCCAGTGACTGCAGTGATAGCTTAGCACAACGCAGCTGAAAAACAGCTTGTGTCCATTTGGGTAGGAGGCACCCGTTGAAGAGCACAGGGAAGGTTTTTGGGGATGGTGAATGCAGCTAGAAGCCCATTTTTACTTGGCTTTTAGAGCCTTTTAATGCCAGACTTCTGGTGCCTCTGCACATCTCACCCATTTTCCGCACGAGGCAGAGCCAGTACCTCTTTTCACCATGAGCAAGGTGTTAGCATGTACCACTCCTGTGCTCAGCCTCCACATTTTCTGCTTGAGTAGTGTTGTCTTTGAGTGACTTTGAAATATCCCTCCTGCCAAATGAGCCACTGGGTACATGGGTCAGTGTTCTGCTTGGCTTACCTCCCTGCTGCTGGTTTTGAAGCCAAGCATCACCAGGTGTATAAATGCACAGCTCAGCCCTGGACATCTTCGCTGTTCACTCTATACTCTTAGACATAATATTTACAGTTGTACTTGGCCTGTATGCATAGCTTTATTCCACATAAATGACCCTATTATATATCTGCTAGGCTTTTACAGTTTTTCTCTTCTGCAGCCAAAATTACAGCTGTGCCCAAACTTCTGGCTAGGGCATGTTGTAGAGCCTTTTATGGAGGCCTTAGGCTGCCAGCACTGTGCTGGGCTTGCAACCAGAGCTACACCAGATCCTCCTCTCAGTGCTGGCACCTTTCTTTAAGTGGCAACCAAGGAGCCCCTCATGTGCCTCAGCACCTATGGGTGTCCCATCCTGTTGCCTCCTATGCACTGGAGCGCTGCAGTACAGATGTGCTGTTGCGTGACAAGCATGTTGCATGAGGAGCAAAGCCATTAAGGAAGACACCAGAAGCCAGGCCAGCAAATGGCCATTGTGGGCACACGCCACTGACCTCCTGTGATCATCCAGGCAAATCCTTGGGCTCATGCTGAGTCAGGGGTTGAGTAATTCCTAGAAGCTCTAGGAAGTGTCAGCGGTTAATGAAACCAGGCAATAACGTGGTATTAGTGGGATCTTTTTCTGGCAATTCCCATGAAAAACAACAGATCTCATCCACTTGTGGTTGCGAGCGTGCATAGACCCTTTGCACAAGAGTGAAGGTGTTGTTCCTGGCACTGTGGCCAGATTGCAATCCAGTAAATTACGGTCTGCTTACTTAAAATGCCACCTGTGGTTTCAGTAGGATCCAACATTAATTTATTATCTTAAGCTGTTGTATGTTGTTACTGCCTGTTGTTTACAGAGTTGCCGCACGTCTTCCCAGGAATGGCTGAGCTTACTTTGACCCGTGCTCTGAGCTTGTGCATCAGTTTGTCTGCAAAGCACTTTGGGATTTCTCTGGAATGGGTAGAGAAGTTTTCGAAAGAAGTACTTTATTAATCTTCTGGATGCAGGCTCGGGTGGGAGCAGTTATTCCCTGCAGAAAAATTCGGCTGCTACAGCTGAGATTGCTTAACAGTGGCAGTTCTCCAGGACATCTTAACTAACTAAGTGCTGCTTGCTGCCATTGCATCTAGAGTCCTTGGGAGAGGACATGATCAAATGTGTTAAAAAGCATCTGTTTTCATAACTGTGGCTAAAATCCCTGGATAGCTGGGTGTAATTTTCCATTGTTTTTTGAATGCATGATCACGGACTGCCTGTTGAAAATAAGGAGTACTTAAAAGATGAACTGCAGGCCTGCCTCAGTGCATGGTGGCATGCCGTGCCAGTGACCTGGTTTTGATGAGTGTGTTCTGGCTTCTTCAGCAGCTAAAAGGCGAGGAACCTTCTCTTAGCAGGAAAAAAAGTGGGAGTCTTAAGAGAGCAAGGCAATGTTGTATAGGGCTTGTGTGGCAAGGTTGTGGTACTGGGGGTAGCTACAGGGGTATTTGCAAATGTCTGGCTTTGGAATGAAGGGTGGACTAGGCCAGTCCTTTTTATACAAAAAGGCTTTTTTTTTTAGAAATGGAAGGGTATTTGGAAGGCAGCAGACACTTTCTCAGCTCAGATGCATCTAGAGTGCTTCATCCTTTGCTTCTCTGGAGTGAAGATCACCATTTTCTCTCTGCCCTTTGTGGTACTGCTGAGTAAGCTGGCTAGAAAAACTACCTAGGAACCTTAATTTCCAACCAAGCAGGAAAAGATGGAGCATGTAACACCTTCATTTGATAGCAGGGTTTGATAAGCTTAGGTGTAAGGCGGAATCCAGTCCATTAGGGAGGTTGGTTGTGCAAGGCAAGAGAGAGATTTCAGTTTAACTTGCCAAAATACATAAAGAATTTGGGTTGCAACACAGGGAGGTGAAAGTCCGTGCTCAAATGCTCACAGGCACGATATGGCACATCCAGTTCACCTACAAACAGCCCAGTGTGGGTCTCTGAGATGGGTGATATGGGTCGATTGCACTTTGTTCTGAGCCAGAGCAACACTCCTCTCATTCTTCTAATTCCTAAACTGTTCACCTTTCCCCACCCAGCTCTTAGCAGAGAAAACATCGCTAACTCAGCAGGGGATGCTGAAAACATCAAGGTACGGTAAAGGTGGGACTAGAGGTTTCTACTAGGGAGGAGAAAAAAGCAGTTTGATCGCCCAGGGCAGAACCATGCTGAAAATGGGCTGTAGCATGAGTTGTCTTCGTTCTGTCTGTTTGGGAATAATGAAGAGTGGCAAAGGTGCTACCAAAAGAAAAGCAGTGTTGTGATCTCTGCTGAGGAGTGGTTGTTAGGCCTACACGTTTCTAAAGGGGGAGCTCTTCTGGTATCCTGAGCTGCAAAACCTCAGCTTGAAAAAGAGATTCAAGCAGGTAGAGCCGTGGGCTGTCCTTGCAGGAGGCAAAAGCCTAATCTGCAGTGAATGTTGTTGCTCTTCTGAAGTTTTTCTCAAAAACATTTTTCTAGTGCATGCAAGCGTGAAGGGAGATCTCTGGAAAGGGGGAATTATTCCACATGTTGGAGGGAGTGGAGGAAATGCAGGAAGTGCTCTTTATAAATTCCTTTTTAAGGAGCAGTGTACGTACAGTACGACAGGGCACCGAGACCAGCCGTGACCACAAAGAGAGCAGAAGTTAGATTTCTTGAGGATTCAGTGTGGGGGGCTGGTTTAATCTAATTTTGGATAATTTAAGACATTGAATACAAAAATAAGTTTTAAAAATATTTTGAGATATTTATGTAAAAAGAGTATGGTTTTGTTAAACGTAACAATGAAGGATTTGGGATGGAAATTAAAGAGCAGTGCAAACAAAAGCAAAACATAGTGCTTGGGGGTTTTCCTCTTCTGTGGTCAATCTGCAGAGTGGCTTTTGTGTCTTGATTGTTATTTTCAAACTGAAGTGGCTGTAGGAGACAAGTTCAGTGTTATTCACAGCTCTTCTCATATTTTTGGCTAGAAGAAATGATATCCAAAGGGTGGGAGCGATGATAGAGGGAGCTTAGCTCTGTCTCCATATTTCATTCTTCTCTAGAATTGTACTTAATGAACACACTCCACATTGTACCAAAGCATGTACCGAGTTACCCAATTCTGTCAGGGCTACCCAAGGCTGTCAGAATAGGAGTCAACCATGCAGGCAGGTCTGTGTTGAAGCCTCCTGGCACAACATGTATTTCTGCCTTTAACAGCAGTGCAGGGTTCAAATCTGGGCTTTCTGATGATCTTCTCCATTGCCTTGTGGTGTTTGCTGGGTTTGGATGTGGCTCTTGCATTGTGGTTAACACTTGCTCTCCCCCACTGTAGGGTTTTGGCTGGTGTGGACCGTCATCATCATCCTCAGCTGCTGTTGTGTTTGCCATCACCGACGCACCAAGCATCGTCTCCAGGCCCAGCAGCGGCAACATGAGATCAACCTGATCGCATACCGGGAAGCCCATAACTATTCAGCCCTGCCGTTTTATTTCCGTATGTACCTCACACTGGTTTTCCTGGAGGTCATGGGTAGCAGGGCAGCAGCAAGTTTGCTGGGTTGGGTGGAAGCGGGCAGCAGTGGTTGGGCTCAGCAAGAGGCAGTGAGCAGCTTTCTGGCCTAACCTTGACTTGTAGAGATGAGGTGGCATATTCCAGCTGCTGGATGCAGTTGACTCCCCCTTGAGTCTGCAGGTGAGCCACACCAGCTACACCACCTTCACACCCACCCTTGATTTGGCTTTGTGAGTACAGTGATCCCCTGAGTGCTTTTCTGCGAGGGTTCTTATAATCTCCTTCAGGACTTCATGGATGCTCCTCCTTTCCAGCCTGCACTTGCTGCTGGTGGGACTGAGGTGTGCAAAGTGGCCTCTTGAAATACAGTCACACAGGGTGGGTGGAAGTGGTGCCTTGGCAGGGACTGTGCTGCCTCCTGCCCTGTGCTGCAGTGACCAGACCACGTTGCTGGTGAGCAGCCCTAGGACCTGGCAGGAAGGAGCTGTTGCCCATGGCTCAAGGAAAGTACAATTGCTTTGTGCTCTCCTTCGTGCCTTCCTACGCTGCACTAGAACAGCAGGCCTCGGCCTTCTGACTGGTGGTATTGCAACTGAGTTTTCTGTAGTGGACTGTTGAGTTGCATATATGAGCTTGCTTTTATTGTTCAACTCCTGCAGCCACCTCAGAAATAATCCCCAGCAGCCTTTTCCTTCCCAGGGATACCCAATTGCACATGGAAAACTGCAGTGCTTTGTGTTTCTAGTATTTAAGTCCATTCTGTCTATATATAGATTGTTTTGTTGCTTCTTAAAAAGTAAACAAAATCTGTCATAGATTTGTGGGGCTGTAAGTACAATAAACCAAACTTTCTTGAAAGTACTGCCAGTTTGCTCTGCCTGCACCAGAAAAAAATTAATCCAGTGTTAACAACTGAAAGCCAGGATCCTTATAACTGCTTATGTTTCTTCATATGTGCACAAGGCTTTGTGAGATGAGGTCTTTGTTCCTGAAAGCAGAATCTTGGCTGAGAAGCCAGTGTTGGCGAGGGCTGGTGAGGTGTCTCCCAGGATGTTCTCTCCAGCTGATGCAGGCCATCCCTTGGTGTGGTTTATGAGGCTGTACTGGGGTACAGGGTGGTGATGGTAAGTTCACCTGGTAGCCCTGGGCATAGACTTGAGAGCCACGAGATCAGGCTGCTGTTCCCAGCTGTGTCCATCTCCTCCTGTAAAGGTGCCCTCCTGTGCCACGATTGCTGTTTCTCTATAACATGATGTGTCTCATTTGGGCCAAGTTTTGGCACCCCTTGTAAAGCCCCTTGAGCTGTTCAGAGGCAAGGTGCTGGTAGACAACAAACAACTAACAGACCTGCATTAATGACTTGTTTCCTGGGGTAAGCTGTTCAAGAAATAACTTCTCCTCCTTGCTTCCCACTTTCAGGGTTTTTGCCAAATTATTTACTACCTCCCTATGAGGAAGTGGTGAACCGACCGCCGACCCCACCACCGCCATACAGTGCCTTACATCAGCAGTGCGTCCCAGCAGGCAGCAGTAGCACAATCCCAGACATGCCAAGAAACCTACAGCCAGCACAGAGCAGCTCAGCAGCACCCAGTGGCAATAACAGCAGTACTGACCACCCCGGGTCCCCCGGCCTCGGAGATCCCGAGCCCTCCACCACCACACTTGAGAGAGCAGTTGCCAAAATGCAAAGCATTGAGCCTGGTGGTACCAGCACAGGAGCCGAGCTGGTGGAGAGGGCTGGTCCTAATAAGGATACTGAGTGCAAGGAGGAACTGCTCAAAGGTTACAGCTCTGAGAGCTTAGAGCAGAGCAGCGCCATTCCCGATGCGAAGGACAAGACTCCGGGCAGGCAGCGCCGCTTCACTGGTGACTCGGGCATCGAAGTCTGCGTATGCAACCGGGGCCATCACGACGATGACCTCAAGGAGTTTGATGGGCTCATTGATGATGCTCTGGATGGGCCCCTGGACTTCTGTGACAGCTGCAGCGGCCGTTCCCATGGGGATGAGGAGGAAGGGCTTTTTAATGCCGCAGAGGAGCAGCACCGTGAACACAGCCACCACCACCTGCCCCGGCAGCCGGTGTGTGTACTCTTGAACACAATAAATGAGCAGGACTCTCCAAACTCTTGTACCAGTAACTCCCCCAGCTAAGGTGGCAGAGTGGAAGGGAGAAAAAAAAACAAAGAAATGAGAGTGGAATAAGAGGATAACAACTTTAATAGGAGGAAAAAAGGTGATACAACCTTTTCTTAGTTTATTTCTGTTTCTCCCCCTCCAGTATAATTCGAGGACTAGTCCTTGAAGGCCCGGTGTGTGGGGGACGGGTCGCTCGGGGTTTTGTTAATCATGTCTGTCCTGCTCTGCAGGGCAGGGACTGGTGTTTCTCAATGAGACCTTCTAACAAATGGAATTTTCCCAATGGTGATTTTGGTGATGGTTATTACGAGTTTGTTGGTTTTAGTTTCTGAAAACACTGCTTTATCTCGCAATCAGTAAAGCTCAGCAGATCTCACCCTGGGAGGATACAAAAATCACCGTCAGGCTTCAACCTCCAGGTGTCTTCCCAGAAGCAAGCAGCTTCTGACAGTGCTGGCAGTCAGTAGCCCAAGAGTTCTGGTTTGATATAGTGCTCTTGAGGTATTGGGGATTTCTTTTCGGTTTAGCTTTTATTTTGTGTGTGTGTGTGTGTGCGCGCACGTGTGTGTGTGTAGTTTTCCTGAAGCTGATGAATGCCTGAACACATCAGCCCTATAACCTCTGGTGCTTCAGTGTTTAAGACAGCAGGTAGGAAATTTCCCACTTGAAGCTGGTGACTGAAGGACCAGTTTCTTCCAGAAGGAGTGTTAGTCTACCGTGAGCAGTTTGAAAAGAAAGGCTTTGCAGAAATTTGCCTTTTATGTCATTTTTAAAGACAAGCGTATTCCTTCAATGCCTCCAAGAGCACAGTTAGAAGTAGAATCCAGGCAGCTGGGCTGCCTTCCAAGTACTGTGGTCTGCGAATGACCTTTTCCCGGTGTGCTGCAAAAGGGCTTGGCTTTATTTTGTTCCTTTCTTTGCACCCCGACAGCAGCACACTGGAGTTAAGATGACAAAAAAGAACAGGGCTCTCTTTGGCCAGCGTGCCTTCAAGCTTCAGCGATGCATGTTGAACAAATGGAGACGAGAGCTCCGTCCATTGTGAAGGGATGACTTACCATGTAGATGTGGAAGACCTGTGCAGTATTTTTGTTTGAAATCCAAATGTTTGGTGCGATTCTAATGTTGACCACTTCAAAGAAATGAATGTCTGTTTTCTTTTTGTTTTTATGGTGCCAACTGGCTACTGTACAATGTCTGTGAGCGTGTGTGTGTGTGTGTGTGACTGCAATCCATGCATGCAAGTCCTACTGGTAATATGAAAACCTGCTGTAAGACTGCAAGAAAATTTACTGTAGCTTTGCTTTAATAAATGGTAGAGATTTTGTTAGTGACAACCTGAAGGAAAAAAAAAGAGCTTGAAACTAACATTCCCTAGCGTGCTCATGTGGAAGAGAGCACAGTTCACACTATGTATCTTGTTCTCGGGTTTTCTCCCCGGCCCTTTTATAATTATGATCATCCTGATCATTACTGTTATGGGGGGAAAAGAAAATTGAAAACTGAACTCGGACATACTCAGATTTGATTGATTGAAAACCAAAATCAGTTTTAAATAAGGTGGAAACCAAAATATAATGCCTTTTCTGATAATTTGCCTGTGTGTATGTGCATCATTTTGTGAGTTAAGAGCAAGGTTTATCTTTAGTTTGTGGTTGTGCTTTGGTTTCTGAACTGGAGGTACATATCACTGTACTGGATAGAGATGACAGCAAGACAAGTGTGCTCATCTTGGTATTTACCCACATGTTTGAGGAGAGCACTTTTACTTTACAAGGTTTAGGAGAATCTCACTCCTTTGTCTGTCACAGCCTTTCTCTTCTATCAGAACAGCTGATTAAAGCAGCTCTTCAGTTTGTGTCTTGGTATGCTCTTAGGAATGAAGGACTTCAGTGTGGATTCAGGAGATCTTGTTCCTGGATGCCTGGAGTGTGAGAGGTAACAGAGAGGCTGTACACATCCCAGAGCCATGCTGGTTCCCTGTGCACTGACCACCCAGGGACTGGTTGCTCCCAGCTGTTCACCGACCACATGCATCTTTTGAGAAGAGAATTAAAGATCCCCAGTGACACCCTTAGGAATTCTGTACGCATTGGCACCGGGTTTTGCTCCTCACAACACAGAGAAAGCTAAAACAAAGCACATCAGTCCTTACGGAGTGGGGTTTAATTGCTCTAAGTCCTGGGGATGGCCCCATGGCAGTGGGAGACCCACTGCCAATGTTTTTATTGGTATAGGACAAAAATCGCTGTGTTTGCTTTTGTGCCACCCCACCGAGAGTGGCGGAAACCCCACTTCTGTGGACATACTGGTGCTTACCTCTAAGCCAGGCTTCTATTTCTGATCTTAAAAAGTCAGGAAGAAACAGGGGTGAGCCTGTTTTTATGAGTCCTGGAGGCTTTTAAGGACCATAAAGAAGGTACAGACCATGTTTCTTAAGCCCACATGTGACTGAGGAGGAGCAGGACAGTCAGTGTGGCTCTTGGTGCTTCAGGCTTTTAGACCTGGAGCAGGAGGAATGGTGTAGGGGAGGACAGCTTCTTGGAGGCATCCGGCTGGTGTCTCTTCAGGGCTAAAAACATGGGCAGGGAGAGAGCTCCCAAAGCTCCAGCTTTGGAGCTTTAGAAGGGTGCTTGTTTGTCACGTGTGTCCCTTGGTAGAAAGCCAACATGACCTAAACAGAGCTCTTCTCTGAATGCACACTGTGGGTGTAAAGTGCTGGAGAAGCAAGGATGCAGGCAAGTGTGCATCTCTTACCACCAGGACGCCGAAATCCACCCATTTCAAGCTATAAGGGGCAAGTGTTTTATGATTGTCATAAACATGCCACTTCAAAACCGAGTTGGAAACAGTGCAGCACAATTGAGGGCAAATTAGTGTCAATCCACGGCTAGATGTTTTTCTTTGCAACATGCTTCAAGTGTTGGTGCCAATAATGCTTGAAGTCTATTTTTGCCAGAGCCTTTGGCAGTGCAGTGCTGCTTACACGGCATGTTTTTGGCCACTGAAGTCAGCTTTGAGGGCAAAGACCCAGCGGGTGTCCCTGCAGGCATGGGGGGATGTCGCCTGGGGACAGGCACTGCAGAGCCCATGTGATGGCTCAGCAAGAGGGTCCCCCAGGCACGACTGGTGGATGCTGCAGCATCACCTCAGTGTTCCCAAGGGATGCTTCAGCTCCAACAATGCAAACTTATCCCTCTGGGAACATTGCTCTAGTTTTTCTGCAGCGTATTGTTGCATGTTTATACAACCCAGCTGTTGGGTGTTGGCTGGAGGAGGAGGGAATGGTGTGTCTTGGTGTGTGCTGGCAGCCTGCTCTCAGAGCTCCTACCTGCCTAACTCGAGGCGAAGGAAAGCTGAGGCGCAGTTATGCTTCTGCGTTACGCAGTCATTGAAAACTTCCTGGGGCAGGAAACCTGAGCAAGGCTCCGGGACAGCAGCATGATCTGGAAGCTCTGAGGCAATGGGAGCGTTGGGGCGCCCATCGCGCTCGGGGATGTGCGTCAGCGGCGGCAGCCGGGGCTGCCTCGCTTCCTGCCCCTGCAGCCCAGGCTCCCACAGGCACATCCTCTTCTGAGCCGGGCTCGACCCACGGTGACCCACTCCCAGCAGAGCTTGGCAGGGATCTTGCTCCAGTGCACACGCTCCCTGCAGCCGGCTGCCTCCCGACCCTCACTCACCTGCCCAGGAGGTGTCACCCCCTTGGTTTTGGATCTCTTGTTTATATAGGAAAAGCCTGGACCAGGCTGGGCACGCAGTCGGGCCGGCAGCCTCTGCTGGAAGCAAGCCGTGCAGCGTACCACAGCAAGCAGCCTGGGAAGGCCGGGATCAGTTGCTGTTCTCCCCCTGTCTTCACCAGAGCTGGTTCCCCCTCCCCTGCAGCACAGCTCCGCCGTTATCAGATGGGCCCGGTGCCCGCCCCAGGCGTCTCACGAGTGGTGCAAGCGCTGCAGTCTCTGTGCCGGGGGGGTCACAGGCTGCCGGGGTGGTTCTGGGTTTGTTTTCGGGTGGTGAACAGCTGTGTCCTGAGCTTTGTGCTTACTCAGCTCGCCTGGCGCCCTGCCCGACGCCAGCCAGCAGGTACTGCCAACATCGCCTGCACCTCTCCTGCTGGCTGTGGCTCTCCAGCACAGCCTGGGGTGTAAAGTGGAGCCCCCCCAAACTTGGAGGGCTCCTGAGCAGCGTGTGCTGAGAGCTGTGCCCCCCAGAATGAGTTTGTGTGATGGAAAGGCTTGGGCTTGTTGTACCCAGTGTCCTCGAGTCCTCCCTTGGTGTGAGCTGCGCCTCTGCTCCATGGGCTACAGCGTGGGAACAGCCATGGATGAAAAATCTTCACCCTTTCCACTATCACTGATTCCTCTTTTGAAGCCCCCCTGTGCTGCAGGGAGTTGCTGTTTCCTGTCCCACATAAGCTGCCCTCCAAGCCCTTCAGCTCCGTTCCCTCCTGCCTAGTGCAAAGACACCTGGTGACCCCAGAGGAAGGGCAGGGACCCAGCATGGCTCAGGCTGTTAGAGCCGCAGGGTTATTTCAGTGGCAAAAGCCTCCGTGTTCGCAGTGGCTGCCCGTGCTCAGCCGGCCAAAACCTAGTGGCAGCTGCTGAGCTCCCCCCCCCCCAGCTCTCCCATGGGCATGGCTGCCTCCTCCCCCTGTGTTTGAGTCGCTGAGCTGCCCAGTGCCAGGTCTGAGTGGGGCCAAAGGGTGGTCCCAGGGACTCTGACTTCCACAGTGGCTCAGGGGGCAGGGGGATGGAAGGGAGCCCGGTGCAGCCTGGGTGAAGCTGTGTGCTGGGGTCAGGAGTGTTTGGGTGCAGTGCAGCGCCCGGCCCCGCCGCAGCTGTCAGGGCATGAATACTCTGAGTATGATTCAGCAGCGTCCCTGCCCGTTCCCAGCCGGGAGCAGCCGTGCCCGCGGCTGTTTACCCGCTCACACGGTGCCGGTGCCGGCAGCTGGTGCTGGGCGCTGGAGCCCTGCGGCGGCGGCTGCTCCCGGCTGCGAGGAGATGGGCTGGGGCTGAGCTCGGAAGCCCCGCGGCAGGGCCGGGCTCTCGGGGTGATGGGGTTTGCAGCACGTGGCTGGGGTCCAGGTCCGGGGCAGCACCTGCCAGCACAACCTAGGGAACCCCAGCGGGAGCCTGGGCTTCGGGCAAGCGTTTGCTGCTGGAGGCGTTCGTTCTCCCATCTCGAAACACCCCCGGTCCCAAAGTCCCTGTTTCTGTCTCTTGGTACGCGCTGGCCTTGAGTGCTTGCAGTGAGCGCACGCACCTTGCAGCGAGCGCTGCGGCAACGGTACCGTGTGTGCAAGGGGCCGGCCCCGTGGTGGCTCTGGCAAGGAGAGAATTCCTTCCTATATCAAGGTCAAACAGTGCCTTGGTAAGCAGGCAAGGAGGTGCTGGAGGTCGTGGACCGGTACTCTTGGAGGCATCAGGCTGCTGGTGACTGCAGGAGCCTGGAGAGGAGCCTCCCTGCCAGCACATGCAGCTGGGGACAGGATGTGGGGCAGGGGAAGGACCAGGCTGGCGCAGAGCTGCCAGTCTCTGGGAAAGCCCAGAGCATCCTATTGAGACAGGTTTTCCCCAGACCTGCTCTGAGCTCAGTCCCCTTCACACACCAGCGTCGGCCTGTGCCAGTAGAGGTGGAGGGATCAGAAACCCAGCGGCACCCCTGGTGTGATGGAAAGGGGCATGAGAGCAGGAAGGGCTGTAGGGCTCAGCACACAGCAGCAGCAGCAGCAGGGCTGAGCTCCCCTCTGCCCTGCTTCTGGTGGGTCACCTGCACAAATCACCCCAAGGATTGCCCCTGTGTGTGTAGAGGCTCTTCCTCCGGCTGCTCACCACTGCCCTGAGCCCACCTGAGAATGGACTGGGAGAAGATGCTCACAGTGCTGTGCTGGGCTGCAAGCACATTGTCTTCATTGTCCCTGTGCCATCCTTGGGCTGACAGGGCCCATTTGGCATCAGATGCCAGAAATGAAGGGGCTGGTGAAAGCCAAATGCTGGTGGTTCAAAACAAAACATGCAGTTTTGACTCACGAAGTAGAGAGAGTAGTGGTGGGGAAGGTTTATGCCATGTTTCCTGCCTGCTAGCAAGGGAGAGAGCTGGGGGAAAGTAAAAGGAGGGGAAAGTGGGGCTGTGTGTGTCTGGGGGTGTCACACTGTGTTGGGGCTCTGTGGGTCTTTCCACCCTATCTCCTTTCCCTCCAGGTGCCCTGAGCCATAGCTGTGTTGCCGTTGAGCTAAATATTAAGAGGTCAGCTAACAGAGAACCAGAAACCTAATTGCGTGCTGCCCTCCACAGCACGGTAGTGTTCTGTGAAAGCAAACCCAGCCCCTTGCATTTCAGGGAGGTTGTGCTGCTCCAAGTGATGGCCGTAACCCAGCCGCAGTGAACATCAGAACACTGTGAGACCTCACCTGGAGTATTGTGTGCAGTTCTGGTGTCCTCAACACAAACAGGACATGGAACTGTTGGAACAAGTGCAGAGAAGGACCACGAGGATGATCAGGGGACTGGAGCACCTCCCGTATGAAGACAGGCTGAGGAAGTTGGGGCTGTTCAGCCTGGAGAAGAGAAGGCTGCATGGAGACCTCATAGCA